GGGGGGGGGGGGGGGGGGGGGCGCTCTAGTGTCTTCTGTAGGCAGTCTAACTGTAGAAATCCTGTTTATTTAACCTAATTATAATATATAATAAAAATATAATATTATAATAATATCATTTTTCCTCCAGAGAAGAAGGTTAGTCCTCCCACAGTGGTCCCTGTATTTGTAAGTGTGGACCCCGCACGTGACGATGTGGAACGTTTGAAAAACTATGTGAAAGGTTAGTGTATGGTGTGCAGAGCAACTTTTTTTTGGCCACTCTCCAAGATGATCTCTTAATGAATGGGGATTATGTGGTGTTTAAATAGGTCGTTAGGGCACCTGTTTAATGGCTGTTTGAAAGTGAAGAAGTTCTTCCAGCAAAAAAATAATTAAAAGCTATGTTTATCAATCTAAATTAAAATAATGGTTTCTTCAAACAATGGCTTAAACTCAGTGTTGCAGTGGTTTGGTCATGGCTACAAGTTTTAGCTGTCACTCAAAGAAACTGTTATGGAAACTTGAAAATAAAACAATAACATTTCATTTATTAATTTTATTTTTTTTAATGCAAAGCTTTATGATTGATAATTTGCATGACGTGGCTTAAATATAGCATATTTAAAATATTTGAACTGCCACGTAGTATTTATTAATAATCATTTGGATATTCAGTCATATAAATTGGCAGACTGAAGTAAAAAAAACTCAAGACAAAAATAGCCTCAGTTTTTTTTTTTTTTTTTTTTTTTGATGGAATACTATTAATAAAAGGCATCAAGAAAAACAATTAAAAACATCATCACAACAGGTTATAATGAAGTACTTATTAATTCAAGTGTGGCATTTATTTGAAGATCAAGAAAGTGAATCACTTGTACTAATAGAGTCTTTTCCACGAAATCGTGAGCATGCGCAGTTTGCGCCATTTTGTGCGGGACTGTTTCTCAGGGGGAAAGAGTAGAAGGGGCCTTCGGTACTTTTGTAGTATACCCCCCCCCTCAACCTGTAACTTTCTGTAACTTTCACTTTTCAAACAGTTTTTTACATTTTATTGTTTATCTATGTCAAAGCTGTTGAAATAAAATGCTTTTGTAATTACATGTGGACTTTTTATTAGTGTTAATCACGTTTAATCCAGCCCATTGAAATACAAAGTTAGAATCTTCAATTTACACCCGCAGTCAATAACTTGCCGCATTTTCGTTGGCAAACTCTAAGGTAATTTTATGTGAACAAGTAGCTCATAATAATTTCACAGAGGAAATCTAAGTATACAATGTATCAATTCTATGTTCACACAAAATAAGGTAGAGTTAGTCAACGAAAACGCAGCAAGTTATTGACTGCGGTTACATTGTAAATTTTCACATTGTATTTCAATGGGGTGGAGTAAACGTGATTAAAACTAATAAAAAGACCACAGGTAATTACAAAAACATTTTATTTCAACAGCTTTGACAAAGGTGCAAAAGACACTGTAAAAAAATGTTTGAAAAATGAAGGTTTCAGGAAGTTACAGGGTGGGGGGGGGTATACTACAAAAGTACAGAATGTCCTATCTTTGCTGGCGATGAGGTACGTTTTTAGTTCTTTCATTGAAAAGTCATCAGGTACTTCTGCTAAATTTCTATTCCAACTGCTCCCATGAATGTGTTTTCGAAAAAAATCAGGTGTTAACATGTTACGAAACTTTGAAAATTCAGATTGAAATGAGCACTCCTCGATATGGCGTCCGTCGTGTACACTCCACACTTTCCCCCTGAAACTTCAAATCCCGCAAAATCTCGTGTTTCCACGGATAATTTAGCGGAAGTCACGTGACCGTGGAAAAGACTCTATTGGGTTGTTTCAACTCTGCGTAGACTCCTGCTAAGTGCAATTAGCTTAACTGAATGACACGCTTCCTCGAGCAGCTTGTTAAAAGGTAATTATATTCTAGCTGCTCAAGGAGGCATGTCAGACAATTAAGCTGATTGCAAATGAGAGCCCCTCGCAGAGTGGGACCGTCCCAACTAGTATGATGTGACTATCTGAATGGAGCCTTTGTTTCTTATAGACTAGCCAAGGTTTGCCTGTTGAAAAAAATTTGTCAAGGTAGAAAATATATTTTTCATGAAACAGTGTGAATATTTAATACTGATGGGCCAAGACTGATATGTCTGGAAGCAAGTAAAAAATAGACCATAAAAAAATAAAAAATATAATTTTTTTACATAATACATACTGATATTTTAGTTATTATTTCCAGACTGGCCGGGACTGGTCGGGTTGACGGGCAGCCATGAGAGCATAAATGACATCACCAAGAAGTTCAAAGTTTTCAGTGAGAAAAGTCTGATATTGGATGCTGACAATTACTTGGTAATCACCATTCTATGTTGGAGACTTAGACTGCATTCCCACAGATTTAGATCTATCCATCTGGATCGACCAAACTCCCTGGGGGTTCACGCTAAATTGCTATCAGCTCAAGAGGCTTAAATGTCTGTCACGCCTACTGAATCAGCTAGGTATAAAGATAATTACCCCTAACAGTTTTACTAGGCGTGACAGACGTTTAAGCTGGTTAGTTTGATAGCAATTTAGTGAGACTCCCCAGGGAGAAAGATCGATCCAAATATCTGTGGGAATTGTCCCTTAAATCCCTGTAATATTTTAGTTGTGCCCTATAAATTATTATTATTACTTCCTGGCAATTATTAGGGGGGAGGTGGGCATGCATCATGCATGAGTTTCAACTGTATATTAAAATATTTATTTATGGAACACTTTATATCAAGCTTCATGGGAGTTACAGGTCCACTATACTTTGGGGGGGGGGGTATACTTAACTGGACAGGCTTATTTTGATAGATAGACAAGTTAGAAGCCTGTCTTTTATGGAGAGTTTCACCCATGAACATATTTCTGAAGCTTTGCAAAAACTGGAAAGCGGTGCTGCAGCTTTGCTCAAATTCAAAGAAATTCTCTTGTCCTAAAATACCAGTCATTTTCTGATCTGATTATTCCTTCTGTTTTTTATATTTTTTCAACAGTTTTGGCATTGTTAATGGGAGTATCATTGTTTTTGTTTTCACCTATATATTAAAGGGATAATAACTCTTCGTATGAGATCTATATTTCACAATAAAAACATTGTGAACAACTCATAGAAATATAATATATTCTGTTTTACCACAAAAACGGCAGTTATAGCTAATATTCTGATATCTGAGTTTGTCTTTGGACCACGAGACCTCCATTGATGGCTATACTCCATTATAATCTCTTAAGAGATTATAACAAAAAAAACAAACTTTTTAGAAAAAAAACAGGTACTAACTTTGAATGTAAAAATGGATCCACTAACCATTGGTAAATATGGGGAAATTGTTGTTAACTCCAGGAAAATTCATTTTTTGACCAAAACGAAGACTTATTATCCCTTTACAAGAGCATTCCAATTATTTTCAGGTGGACCACACCTCCCTTTATTTCTTCATGTCTCCCGAGGGCACCTTTGTAGAGTACTTATACCCCAGGGAAATGGATGAAGAAGAAATTGCTGACTGGATGTACAAAACTACCAAAAGGTACTGGTTAACAAACACATGGCTTTATAAGAAAGCCTTAAGCCTGACTGAAAGGATACATACGTTTCTGATGGCGAGGCGTAAAGAGAAAATTGAGCAAAAAAGGAAGGATCTGAGGGAACAAATGCTTGCAAGAACCACGAAAGATGAGAGGTCTTGATGTTGATGTTGGATAAAATGGTGGAACCTAGCAGTTTCTTCACATTTCTCTATTTTGTGCTTTTTTTTTGTGAGTTAAAAAACAAGGATATCCAAAGGTCAGATCTGTGTAATGCATCTGGTGGTTTAGTTGGACCAAGAAAACTGGTGACGTAGGGAGATAAAGGTCAAGGTCAAATTGTGGGTTATAACCTACGTTAAGGATCTACATCTTTGATGTCACCGTCACTGACTACACTGGCTGAATATTACACCAAAATTTAAGTCTGCATTTTTAAATTGATATTTATTTAATATGTCTATAAAACAAAATGAACATTCTGCATTGATTCTATAAATGCTCGTGTACATTTTCTTTGTTTATAAAGGAATACCAGTTGTATTAAATAAAAGTGAAAAGCTAGAAAATTGTCTAAACGATTCGTTGTTGATTTGGATTTGTGCTGCTTTCTTTTAAAAGCGAAACAAAATATATCCCTATAAATAAATCCATAATGCATTTCTAGCAAGTTGTTAGGGCTGGTCTTTCTTAAAATGCTCTGCTTGACTTGTATCAACTGGGCACGATCCCACAATAATAATGAAAGACTTCCATTGAAGACTTAGGGGGGCAGTTATCCAGGAATATTTGACACCATACAGTACTTTTTATTGCCCTACACAAAGATTTTGGGGTGTAGCTTTAATACTTTTTTTTTTCAAATGCTCAATGTCCTCTTTACGTTATTCACTTCTTTATCGTCACTAATCATGATCTCTTGTAACTAAATGTTTATGACATGACCACATTTTATAAAATACATTTTTAAAAATCTACGGATGTAAAATTTGGTCACTTATGCCCAAAAATAATAATTAACTGTCCTTTAACAACAAAATACACATCAAAATTATCAAATAATAAATAAAATCAAACTGTAACTTGAAACCCTTCGAAGTACTGAGCACGAAAACAATACGATTCATAGCCTATAAATAGTTCCAACCCCCTCCTGTCCAATATCCAACAGGTGCCCGCTGTGGTCACTCAGACCAAGGACAACTGACCGCTGGCCAGTGTATGGTACGCCCCTTTCTTGGCCAGGAGTTCTTGATGTGACCCCTGCTCCACGACCGTCCCGTTGTCCAGTACGGCGATAATATCCGCGTTCTGGACAGTGGACAGGCGGTGGGCGATCATTATACATGTCCGGCCCTCCCTGGCCCTGTCCAGCGCCGCCTGGACCACCTGGAATGGGGAGGATTTTTATTTTAGCAAAAATGGAAAAGCATAATATGTATGAGCAGTTGAATTAAAATGCCAACTTGGGTCAGAGAGGAATAAATGTGCTTTGGTGAAAACAGACGAGTAATTTTATATCGGCTGTCCAACAATTTTTCATTAAATAAATTTATGCACTTTCGTTATGAAGACTCTGCTAAAATTACGCATTTTAGGATTGCGTTAATCACTGATCTCAGCTTAGGTGCGTTTTACCGCTAAATGCATATGATACGGCATCATGTTCTGTAACAGTTGCATTTACTTTTCTGTTCTTTCAACGATATGGACTCGCTGTAGACTCTGATCATGACCTATCTGTTTTGATATGAACCTAAAAAACGCGTCCAGTCTTAAGTAATAAATTAAGAGTCTAGTTTGTGGCCAACTGACCTTCTCGCTCTCCGTATCCAGCGCCGAGGTGGCCTCGTCTAGGAGTAGGATGACCGGATTGCACAGCAGAGCACGTGCAATGGCTACCCTCTGTTTTTGACCACCGGACAGCTGCGTTCCTTTCTCACCGACCACTGTGTCGTAACCCTGGAATATGGAGATGGCCGGGAAAACGAATAAAACTGTCCGCTGAATTTAAATGGAATTAAATAAAAAATGCGGGGATTCTTTCTTGTAACGAAAGTGGCGCAGGTCTGGATGGGAAAGCCAACCGCTGCATGCGTTATCACTGTGTGAATCTTTTGTCTAGTGATGGGATACAGTTACACGGTTTGGATAATAAAAGATTTGATTGGAATCGCAATACAACATAAAATACATGTCAAAAACCATGTTTTAAATAGAGTCTTATATATGACGAGGTTATTTTTTTCTTTTTTTTTTGCCACATCTGCCCAGGCAGTGCTAGATATGGGCGTGGCCTTACCTGAGGTAGTGATGTGATGAAATCATGGATGTTAGCAGTTCTCGCTACTTCTATTATCTCCGACATTTCTGCAATGAAAAAAGTCGTGTGTGATGACATTTCAGTGTATTATCCATGTTTTAACCACGTACGCGATTAGGCCAGTTTAATTTATATGCCAACCTAGAAACGCTGCCCAAGTTTTGGTTGGGGACTTATTTTACATTACATTAAATGTTAGGCGTTTCGACGAAAGCACGTCGACGATATAAACTTTGCGCTCGGACCCACGTATTATGGGTCTAAACCTTGCGCCACATATCAGCAACGTTAATATTTAGAGGTCATCTTAAAATGAATAAATTCACCTCCAAGCACGATATTTAATAAAATATATAAAAAGAAAAACATGATATTAAAAAGAAAAAAAGAACAAGAACTTTAAAACAAGTAATTCAAATTGGGTGATTTTTTTCAATCGCTTAATTCGACACTTACCTACGTCTCTCTCCACGCCGTAGGCTATATTGTCCCGTATATTACAGTTAAATAACACCGGCTCCTGGCTCACGACGCTGATACAGGAACGCAGAAAATTGATGTTCATGGAGCGGATATCTACACCATCTATACTCTGGAAGTGGATCATTTTTATAGTAAGTCTGATTGAATGAACAATATAAGAGAATATCATACAGAAAGAGAAATAATATAGAAATTGGTGAAGAGTTTGTTGCACTGAAAAGGGCCAGAGTTCACCGTATCATCGAACTAACTTTCCATGGCTTTTCTAATAGCATCCACAATAAAGGCAACTATCTATTATTTTTGTATTTTTATATATATATATAAAGGCGAGTTGCTCGACACAGTAGTTGTTATTTTCTATCCCTTTTTCTTGTTGTTATCTGAAACCATTATCTGTTTTTCGATACATTTCAACCCTAGCGCGTGCCCATGCCCATGCCCAAAAACGCACAAGCTATTCAAAACAAAGGGACACAACAAAAGGAATTCTCTAGCAGAGCTAGGTTTCGATCCTAGGACCTCGGGGTTATGGGCCCCGCACGCTTCCACTGCGCCACTCTGCTGATGGTTTTCAAATGATGTTCAGCAGGCACTACTATTATCCGATAATTGGCATTGATGCGCATCAGCTGCGGTAGTTGGTATTATATTTTAATATTCATCACAACTATAGCAACCACTTTCCTCTCTTTCAGTCACCATCACATCTTCATTTATCTTTTCACAAAACCAGCTTTTTGCTTTAAGAAGTTTATATTCGAAACCATAAATTTGTTTTTCTTTTCTATGTCCATGCCTATGAAAGATACATATTCAATTCAATGGACCATTTTTTCTTCCTTCCTAGAATTACGACACAATTATTTTAAGTCACAAGTTAAATTATAGGCCTAGACCCTACACGAAGTTGAAATTAGTATCTAGATAAAATTTAACCATAGGAAGAGGAAACTTTATTATTAGATATATAAAATGAATTTAAAATAATAAAATATGTATTGTTCTTCAACAGCGATTGACCATTAAAAGTTGTGAAAACTACTTACAATACTTCCTGCGTCAGAATCATAGAACCTCTGCAGCAGGGACATAATTGTGCTCTTCCCACAGCCGCTCTGCCCAACTAACGCAATCGTCTGACCTCGATGGACCTGTAGACTGACACCCTTCAGCACTTTCACGTTCGCGCGACTGGGGTACGTGAACTCTAAATTTTTGATGGTGATGTCCCCTGTCACTCTCTCCTGAAAAACGTTCAAATTTGTTGAAATATTAGAGTCTAATCATTTTTATTATCCTGATTTTATCTTGGCTAATTGCAAATCAGCCTTTGACTTTATTTAATTCTGGAATATTATCGCGTGTCATGAGGAACAAATAATAACACACTTATTATTTCTCGAGGACAGTTTTGGGGTCCGCTGCTCTGGATTAAAAAATCAATTATTTGTTTTGGATTTCAAAATAAAATCACCTGCGTCCATCAAATAAAAGAATGATCATCGTTTTAGATTTAACGAAGCTTTCATTGGTGGGAAAATATCATCTCAGAAATATACCCATTCATAAAGAAACACGACAACGTTTTCTTCTACATGTAAGTTACCTCTACCTAGTAAATCTTTAATATCTCAAACCAATACTAAAATGCCCATATGTGGTCAACCGGCATTACTCTTTATAACAATTGATTAAAAAAAGTGTGTGCATAGGTATAAAAGTGTAGACGATAATTTAATCCATAAGTACCAGTCTCGTTCCTTTCTTAGAGTAACTATCAATGGAGGGTCTGACGTCCATTAGTTTATAAATTCTCCCGGTGGCCAGGCGGGCCTTGGAGTAGTCCGGGAGGAAACTGGCCGCTTGACCCACGGCCAATCCCGTGAACGCTATGGCGAATATTACTCTGAAATGGTCAAAATTTTGTTTCACGTTGAATTGTGATTGCAGAGCGTGTTAGAGACGATGAATAAATACCAGTACATAAATAGATAATTTATAAATAAAATAACGGGTTGCTTTGAAAACTCATTCAATGTCCTAAACCGGATAAAAAAAACTGAAATGGTAATAATAAAATATATTCTCAATAAGATGAAATGTGCTTCAAATCAGCCTGATGCAAGAAAATGAATAAGAAATTAAAACAAAAAAATCATAATAAATTTTATTTTAATTATTTTATTTCAAGATTAAGAAACTAACCCAGACAGCCTCAGTAANGTCTGGCAAAATGTGGCAAAATGTGGCATAAATGCCAGACTTTGCCAGACTTGGCCCAGATCTGGCAAGTGTCTGGCAAAATCTGGCCCAGATATTGCCAGACGTTGCCAGATCTGGGCCAGATATGGGCCAGATTACTGAGGCTGTCTGGGAATTGAAATAAGTTGAACCAAACCATAGATATAAGCACATACACTAAATTCCAGTAATATTTAGAAATACAAAATGTCAATTTCCATTATAACAAGTCGTCAATATTAATGAAATTTAAAGACCTTTTGGTAAAATAGAAAGTGAATATCATCAAATGAGAAGACCCATCGACCGGAACTACAACCCGGGCCAAGGAAACTGGGTCAAAGGTAAATAGGTCATATGATCTCATATGCATGTTTCCCATCAATTTGAAAATTCAAGTCGGCATCTCTCGGCAGGTGAAAAGGCACTTCCAGGGGAAACCTCCTTCGTGCAGGAAACTAACAGGATGACTTAGTGTTGGAAAGGATATGTAACGTAGATCTACAGGTAAGAGGGACGTTTTATTCATTGTTTGTGCGTTGTGTGTGTTGGCAATGATAATCAGCTGATTCAGAAAAGACGCAATCGACAAGAATGGATTAACGAAGAATAGATAGATTCAAGCCTTGGTGTACAGAGTGCAATATTTCCCAATACTTCTTCAAGGCATGAGTCAGATTTCTCCCTCACACAGCCGCCACTAAGGGGTGCAATATCGCTGGAAACACTCCCCGGTGGAAGTAGGGGATCGACTCCCAGACGGATGTGTGGTAAGAGAAAGCAAGATAAGGTTCATTTTGTAAACACAGCAGCAACTCGGGTTCGTGTAGGTTTCACGATCGAATCTCTGACTGCGCCAAATTCAACGCACCAATTTTCACTTGATATATCTAATTTTTATTGCCATTTATAACTATTGTAAGTCCTATTAGAGAAATTGAAGGTTTGAGTACAGTGTGTGTAAGTGTGTGTGTGTGTCAGAGAGAGAGAGAGAGAGAGAGAGGATGGGGAGGAGGGCAAGGAATAATATACCCCCCCCCCCCCCCATTTATTCAATTTAAATTTACTGCATGCTTGTTTTCCACACTGCATAAAATGACATGTTTTACAAGGTTATCACCACAGGATATATATGTACCGAAAATAAGGTTAATTGCCAAATCATAATGGGCTGATGTATGCACATAAATATGTATGTGTTTATACATGCATCACAGAGCACAAAGCAATTCTTACATACTTCAACATTCCTCTCTTTATCTCCCATAAAACATGCACATGCAAACACAATTGTGTGTTACGAGATCAACACACAAGATAAGGAGGTGCAAGCCTAAACTCCTTACAACCCAGGACCTAGTCACATTTAACACCCAAATACTCATTGATTGACAGCCAAGATAAGAAGGTGTGATACACAATAACGTAATGTTAAGTCCTTTTTAAGTGCATTTTTCAATTACGTCTACTTGATTCAATCTCAGAGTACCTGATATGGTGATCAGCATTGGGTTTGGCTTCTTTAAGGCCTTCAGACATTTAAGTTTGAGTTATCTGATGAAAGCTAGTCTGTGACGTGAATGTGAGAAGGTGCTCAAGATGGTTGTTAATTGCCATCGGGATCGCTATTCAGTGCTTTTCTTTTTTGAAAATCATGTTTTCTGTAATGTTTTTAGAATAAAGGTCTGCATGTAGGCCCTATTTTCTATGTCTTTAAAAGCTGTTTATTATTTTTTATCAAAACTTGCATGAAGCTGCATCTGAGCTAAGATGTTTCATTATGTCTGTGATACAATAAACAGTGTATAAATAAAAAAATAAATATATAAAATAGGTACATATATTTTGCTGTCACATCATATATATATATATATATAAAATTCACATTTACACATTGTTGAAAGATAAAAAAAAAATCAAGAAAATAATACAAATATTTTAGGTATTGGTCACAGGTTAACAGAGTACTCTGAACCAATTATATAATTTGCCTGAGTGAAAATGAGGAATGTAGTTTAATTGAAAATTGTCCAGGTGACAAAGTACCTGCCAAACCAGGTAATTATCACCTGTTAAGTTATACAAAGGCACATCTCTCACATTTAATGGCATAACTGTGTGCCTTATATGCGCCAGTCAGGTCTATGGCCAGCAATTTAAAAGGGGGGGGGGGGGGGGGGGGGTGAAAAAACCCCGGGGCCTTTTTT